CATATACATTGTATATTGACAAAATAAAAATTTAACGAAAAAAAAAAAAGAAAGAAAGAAAAGACATACAGGTGGCCAACAGGCACATGAAAAAATGCTGAAAGTCACTAATCATCAAGGAAATGCAAATTAAACCACAGTGAGATATTATCTCACTCCAGTTAGAATGGCTATTATCAAGAAGACAAAAAATAAATATTGGTGAGAATGTGGAGAAAAGGAACTCTCCTACATTGCTGGTGGGAGTGTAAATTTGTACAGCCACTGTGGCAAACAGCATGGAGGTTCCTCACAGAACTAAAAACAGATCTACACTAGAACCCAGCTATCTCACTACTGTGTGTATACCCAAAGGAAATGAAATCAATATATCAAAAAGACACCTGCACTCCTATGTTCAGCACTATTCACAATAGCTAAGAGGTGGAATCAATCTAAATGTTCATCAATGGATGAATGGATAAAAAGACTGTGTTGTATATACACAATGAAATACTACTGAGCTATTAAAAAAAAAGATATCTTTTTATTTGTAGCAACATGGATGGAACTGGAAACCATTATGTTAAGTGAAGTAAATCAGGCACAAAAAGACAAATACCGCATAATATCACCCATACGTGGAATCTTTAAAAAAAAGTGTTCTCATAGAAGTAGAGTGTAGTATAATGGTTACCAGAAGCAGCTGGGAACAAGAAGTGATGGACCAATGAGTACAAACTATGCCATCTACCCTAAATGAATCATTGTGCAGTATATGCATGTATTGAAACAACATACTGTACCCAACAAATATGTACAGGTAAATGTTAAAGTATTTTGAGTAAAATAAAAAAGAAATTACATAAATAAAACTATAAATATGTTAAAAATAAACAATCTGAAAGGAAATTAAGAAAATTCCATTTACAGTAGCATCAAAAATAATAAAATACTTAGCAATAAGCTTAACCAAGGAATTGAAAGACTAGTATGCCGAAAACTTAAAAAAAAAAAATGTTGCTGAAGGAAATTAGAAACAAATAAATGGAAAGACATCCTGCATTCATGGATTGGAAGAATTAATATTTTTAAGATGTCAGTACTACTTAAACTAATCTAAAGATTCAATGCAATCCCTATTAAAATCATCCCAATTTTAAAATGGGGAGAAGATTTGAATAGACATTTCTCCAAAGAATATATGTAAATGACCAGAAGTGCATGAAAAGATGCTCAACATCATTAGTCAGTAGAGAGATAGAAATTAAGACTATGATGAAATACCACTTCACACCCACTAGAATGACCGAATTAAATGAATGAATGAAAGAATAAATGAAAATAACAAGTGTTGGTGAGGACATGAAGAATTCAAAATCCTCTTACAGCCAGTGTGGAAAATAACTGTACAGTTCCTCATAAATTTAAATATAGAATTACCGTGTGACCTAGAAATTCCACTTCTAGGTGTATACTCAAAAGAAAGGAAAGCAGGTGTTCAAACAAATACGTATAAACAACTGTTCATAGCAGCACTATTCACTATAGCCAAAAGGTGGAAACAACCCTAATGTCCATCCATAGATAAATGGATAAAGAAAGTGTGGTATGTTCATACACTGGAATATTATTCAGCCGTAAAAAGGAATGCAGTATTGATATATGCTACAACATGGATGAACCTTGAAAACATTATACTAATTGAAAGACACCAGACACCAAAGGCCACATAGTTTAGATTACATTTGTATGAAACATCCAGAAAGACAAACCCATAGAGACAGAAAGTAGATTAGTGGTTTCCAAGGTCTGGGGATAAGGCAGAATGTAAAATGACTGCTTAATGGTTATGGGGGTTTCCTTTTGGGGTGATGAAAATGTTCTGGAGCTAGAAAGTGGTGATGGTTGCACACTATTAATGTACTAAATGCCACTGAATTGTACACTATAAAATGTACACTTTCAAATGAAATTTTGTGTTATGTTGATTTTATCTCAAAAATAACTGTCCCCTTAACCTTATTTATGAAGCTTGTAACCTTATTTAGAAAGACTAAGTTGTTGGGAATTTTACAGTCCTAAACTGGAGAGATAAGAACAAGATTTAGATAAGCACTGCAAATGTCCAACATTTAAGACCACATCTTCATCATTTTTAATTTGTAAAAAGAAAAGGAGAGTCCTGTGGGCCTATTTAATAGCCACAATATTAATTTCTCTAATACCAAATACATTCCAATCTATCTCCAACTGTCCCACCAAAAATGCATTTACTGGCTCATTGCATTCTAATCCTTAATAAGGCCTGGTTAGTACCAGAAATAGCACATCCAGGCCTGACATTTTATTCCAAACCAAAGCCAACTTTTTGAATAACCACAAGGAATTTATCACATACAATTAGAAACAATTCTTCCTACGCCCTTCAAGTAGGTAGAGCATACCATAAGAAAGTTATATTCCCAAGGACATCCTAAAACTTAAAGTGCTGCCCCAAGGTGCTACTTTTAATTATCAAAATTAGAAAGAATTTTTAAAAACCTTATACTGTTTTGTTCATTAATATAATTGTTCTTCTACAGAAACAAAATAATCAGCTTTTCTATATTAACTTACAATATTTAGTTACTATTTTATAACATTGATTTATAGTCTTTTGGTTAGGAAAATTTAGTTGTGTGCATCTGTCCAGTTCATTGCAGAATACTTAGCTCCCTGGGCTAAAGATTAAATGACCTTAGTGCGCCACATTTATTGTAGCAACCAAAAATGCCCCTACACATTTCCACATACTTCCAGGAAGGTACTTATTTATCACTCTACTTGAGAATGACATGATACCATAAAAACAGACCACTAAGGGGCTGGCCATTCAGCTTACTTGGTTAGAGCATGGTGCTGATAACACCAAAGTCAAGGGTTCAAATCCCCTTACTGTCCAGCCAACAAAAAACAAAACAAAACAACACACCATTAGGTATGGTTCTTAAAATAGAGTGTTTTATTTTATATGTTTCCAATTTTTAAAGTTAGATACACTTAAATTATCTCAAGTATTTTATTAATTTGTTTTCCTATTTTATTGAGGTATAATATACACACTGTACTCCCAGAATTAAGTTATAAAGAGTACAATTTGATGACTTTTTACCTCTATATACATCCATGTAATCACCATCCAGGTTTAGACTTTGAACATTTCTAGCACCTCAGAAATCTCTTTCATGCCCCTTCCCAATCAATCTCCTCTCAGAGGTAACCACTAATCTGACTTCTAGCACCATAGATATGTTTTGCCTGATTTTGAACCTCATAAAAAAGGAATCATACTGTGCACTCTTCTGTGCAAGCCTTTCACTCAACATAGTGTTTTTCAGATTAACCCATGTTGATGCAGTTTCAGTAGTTTGTTCCCTTTTATTGCTGTTAGTTATTCCAATTTATCATAGTTGGTTTATCCATTCACCTATTGAAAGACTCTTTGGTTTTTAGCATTTTTTTCTATTATGAATATAGCTGTTATGAACATTACATATTTTTGGAAATATATATATATATTTATAAATTTAACACACATGCATACATACATACACACACATACTCATTTCTCTTGTGTATATAACTAGGAATGGAATTGCTAGGTCATAGGGCAGACATATATTTAGCTTAAGTAGATAATGCCAAAGTTTTCTAAACTGGTTGTATGAATCTACACTCTTACCAAGATCTTCTGCCCATCAAAATGTACCATAAAGGAAGTGAAAAGGAAAATCACAGACTGGTAGAATATATTCAACAAAAGACTAGTATCCAAAATATATAAAGAATTACTACAAATCAATTTTTTAAAAAAGACAAACAACCAAATTTTTTAATGGACAAAAAGACTTGAATAGGTATTTTACAAGATGATATCCAAATGGCCAATAAACTCATGAAAAGGTGCTCAATATCATTAGTAATCAGAGGCATGCAAAATAAAAATCACTATAAGATACCACTATACACCAACTAGAAAGTTAAACTTTAAAAGATTGGTAGTATCAAATATTTAAATGATCAAAAAAATAGACTTCTAAAGGAAATTTTAATTACTTGTCATTATCTAGCCCTTCTGCACCAATCTTGTGAAGTAGGTATTATTTCTTCTATTTTACAGATGAAGAAACTTAGGTTGAGAGTGCCTGATTTTCCACAGTGATTTTTTTAAACTATTAAGTAAAGAAATGACACTTAAACCCAAATATTCTGTCTACAGACCTTTCTTTTTTTCACCTCTGTCTACCTTAAAGCTTTCAGGTCTGTATTTGGAAAATTATTGGCATATCTTTTGGAAAATGAGCAAAGTGTGGCACTAACATGGCGACAAGCTCCATACCAAGCTAAAAAAATTCTCAGGTAGTAAGAATATCCAAATTTATATTCATTTGCAAGATTAGAATATGCAGGTTATGTCACAGGCAGTTTCATCCAGCTTCTCCAAGAGTGACATCAGTGTCACCTATGAAAAACACAACTTAATAAGCATTGGTTAATCATCAACAGGGTCCTGGCAGCAAAGTGTCACATATCTGTATGCAACATCATATTATGATATAATAGAGTGGAAAGGGCACAAGTCTCGGAGTCAGATGAACATGGTTTGGGGCCCAGCTTTGCTTCTTACTAGTTGAGTGAGTACAACCTTGGACAAGGTACTTAATCTCTCTAAGTTTTAGTTGTTTTATAAAACAATACCACCTATCTCATAGAGTTGTGAAGATTGAGATAAAAATCAGATAATATAATTGACATAATTAGCCAGAGAAAGTTAAAAGCCAAGTTGGTGTCTGGGTAACAAATATTTTCATTTAAGTAGTTATTGTTGTTTTTAATCTTTTCTGTGAACCTAGAAAATAACATCTTGACTATCTCTTCTGCTTCTAGTTTCACTTGTCCTATACAGACAAGGAACGCTATGAAAATGAAGAGAGGCCTGAGGTCCAGAAGCAGATGCTTGTTGATATGGCCAAGAAGCTACCAGTTTACACAAGAACCGGGAGTGGAGGTCAGTTCATCCAAAGTCAGCTACAGGGCAGCTCAACAAGAATCTCAGAAAGGCTAAGTCATGTATGTTCTCAGGCTAGCCCCTTTTTCTCTCACCTCCTGAAAACTACTATGGAGTTTATTTCTCAACCTTTTATTATAAAATTTTTCAAACACATATCAAAGTTGGAAGAATTCTGTAGTAAGTACCTGTATACCCAACACTGGATGCCATCACTAACATTTTACTATATTGTTTTATCACATATCTACCTATCTATCTACATATCTGTCCCTCTATTCATCTTCTGTCAAGCCATCTTATTTTTCTGGTGCATTTCACAGTAAATAGCAGATATCAATATACATCCACCTAAATATTTTATCATTCTTTTCAGGCAAAATGTACATACAAAAACATGCACAAATCTTAAGTATACAAGTCAATGTGTTTTGAAAATGTACACACCTGTGTAACTAAAACTCCTATAAACATTACCATCACCTCAGAAAGTTCTGTCATGCCCCTTCCCAGTCAATTCCACCTGCCCCCCCCACAATTACGCTTCTAAGAGTTTTCCACTGTAAATAGTTTTGCATGCTCTAGAATTTTATATAATTGGAATCATATAGTAGTACTCTTGTGTCTGTTTTCTTTTATTCAGCATAATGTTTTTTTTGAGATTTATTCATATTGTTCTGTACCTCAGTCCTTTTATCACTGAATAGTATTACATTGTATGAATATATTACAGTTTGTTTATCCATTCACTGGTTGATATACATTTAGGTTGTTTCTGGTGCCTAGCTATTAAGAGTCAATCTGCTATGAACATTTTTGTGCAAGTATTTGTGCAAAAACATGTCTTCATTTTTCTTGGGTGAATATCCACTATGGAATTTTACTCTTAGGTTTCATCTGCATGACTAGAATAGTTCTTGATGAACCATTTCTCCACCTTTTAAAATTTGAAAACCAAGGCTCTTCTAACAAGTCAACCTAATGTTTCTAATAAGGAAGGCAGTATTTCAAGGCTCTGGAAAGTATACTGTCACATATATTCATTTCTTCATCATCTGTTTATTCAACAAATATTTATATACTATGACAATAGGGGAAATTTTAATATGGTCTGGGTAATAGATGATATTAAGGACTTATTGTCAATTTTGTTAGAGTAATAATATAATTGTAGATATGATTTTTTTAAAGTCTTCATGATACAGAAACATTTATGATTCGAAGTGACTAGGATTTGCTTTTAAAATGCTTAAGTAAAAAGCCAGTTAAGGAAATAGGTTAAGGAAAAATGGCACAATATCGATAGTTGTTAAAGCTGGGTAATTGTATGTGGTGTTCATTATACTATTATCTCTAGTTTTAGCATATGATTTATAACTTACATAATACTAAAATTTAAAAAGTGACTACTATGTGTGAGGCACTGTTCTGAGCACTGGAAACATGGAGTGGAACATAGAAGAAAGGTTTCTTGTGGAGCTTAAATTCTGATGAAAAGGAGACAGGGAATTATATAATTTCAGGCAGTAATAAACAGAATGATGTGATAGAGCAGAGGTTACAAACTAGAGGCATATGGGATGAACTGGGCTCACAGATATAGTTTGTTTGATCTCTATGTGTCTTTTAAAACTTTAGGTTTGTTACTACCTTTTAACAATTAGGATACATAAAAATCCAGGTACTGGCTTCTTTCAATAACTCAGATGATCTGGCAACATTCGATCTGCATTTCCACATGGCAAAAATTAGCTGGAACTGAGTGGTGGCAGCCCTCTTTCTAAAGAGAACATGAATTCTCAGGTTCCACCAGCTGCTTTGTCCACTACTTACTATTCCCTGGACCCTAGAGACATTTGTTTGAAGCCCCCATGATAGAGCATAATAGGAAAGGCTTTTCTGAAAAAATGCCATTTAAGCTGAGACCTGAATGTTAAAAACAAACAAACAAAAAAAGGAACTAGCCATGTAAGTTAGTCAGAATTCTCCAGAGAAACAGAACCAATGAAATATATATAATCCTCATTATATGAGGGGTCTTCAAAAAGTTCATGGAAAGATTCATATTATCTTTTTTTTTTTTTCTTTTTGTCTTTTTTCGTGGCCGGTAATGGGATCACAACTCTCAGTGTCGCACCTGCACCGCGACCGGCAACGGGATCGCAACCCTCGGTGTCGCACCCACACCGCGCTCAACCAGTGAGCAGACCGGTCTCTACATGGGATCCGAACCCTCGGCGGGAGCACCGCTGCGCTCCCAAGTGCCACACTCTACCGAGTGCGCCACCGGGCCGGCCCCATATTATCTTTTAATTCTGTTTTTCCACAAACTTTTTGAAGTATCCTCGTGTATGTGTGTGTGTGTGTGTTTGTGTGTGTGTGTGTGTGTGTGTGTGTGTGTGTGTGTGATTTATTATGAGAAATTGGCTCATGCTGCTATGGAAGCTGAGAATCCCATGGTATGCCATCTGCAAGCTGGAGAACAAGGAAAGCTGGTAATATACTTCTAGTCTGAATCCAAAGGTCTGAGAACCAGGAGCACTGATGGTGTAAATTTCAGTCCCATGCAGGAGAAACTGATGTCCCAGCTCATGCAGTCAGGCAGAGACAGCAAATTCTCCCTTACTCTACATTTTTGTTCTATTCAGGTCTTCAACAGATTGGATGAGGCCACCCACATTGGGGAGGACAATCTGCTTTACTCAGTCTACTATTCAAATGGTAACTTCCTAAAGAAACACCCTCACAGACACACCCAGATATAATGTTTCCACAAATATCTTGGCACCCCATAACCCACTCAAGTTGACACATAAAATTAACTATCACACCATTCAAGAAACAGAGGGATGATCATCGCAGGCAGATGATCTGGAAGTGCAAAAGGCCCTGAAACAGAAGCAAGCTTTGTGTATTATAAGAACAAGATAGGCTCCCCCATGGCCCATGTGGGAGCTCAGGTGAGCACCAACCACATACACCACCACTGCTGCCACTGCCCCGTGCCCAAGCCCTGGAGAGTCCCACCCACTGCCTGAGCAGGAGCCCAGGTAAGCACTGGTCCTGTGCACTGCCACCACTGCCAGCCCATGCCTGAGCCCTGGAAAATCCTGCCCACCACCTGAGCAGGAGCCAAGACAGCCCACTGCACACTCAACTGCAATGACACAGGAAGAGTCACCAGCACAGTCTACAAATAAAGGAGGAAGTCTTTCTGCTCATAGCCCACTCCAGAGTAATAGAAGAAACAACTGCCCTACCAGATGACCAAACATCAATGAAATAATACTAGAACTAAAAATAAACAAGAAGATATGACACCACTAAAGGAATACAGTAATTCTGAAGTACCAGACCTCAAGAGCAAGAAAACCTTGAGATGTCTGAAAATGAATTCTGAGCACTGATCTTAAGAAAACTCAAAGAGACAAATTAAAGAACTCAAGCAAGAATCAATTAGAGAATACAATAAAACAAGAAAAAATACTCAGAATATGAAGGAGAAAATTTGCAAAGAGATTAATATTTTGAAAAAGAATGTATCAGAACTCCTAGAACTGAAGGATTCACTTAATGAAATAAAAAGCAGAACAGAAAGCTTGAGCAGCAGGCTAGAGTAAGCAGAAGAAAGAATTTCAGACCTTGAAGATGGTATTTTTGAAATAGTCAATGCAGACCCCAAAAAAAGGGGAAAAAGAATTTTAAAACATGAAGTAAATCTAAGAGAGCTAGCAGACAACCTCAAGCACCCAAACATCTGAATCATGGGTATTCCAGAAAAGGAGGAGAGAGGAAAAGACATTGGAAACCAATTCAAGGAAATAATAACAGAAAACTTCCCAGGTATGGGGAGAGATGCAGACCTTCAGATCAAAGAAGCCCAAAGATACCCAAACAGATTAAATCCAAAAAGATCTTCTCCAAGACACATTATAGTCAAACTGGCAAAGCTCAAAGACAAAGAGAGAATTATAAAGCAGCAAGATAAAAGCATCAAGTCAACTATAAGGAATCCCCCATCAAACTAACATCATACTTCTCAACTGAAACCTTATAAACCAGGTGAAAATGGGATAATATATTCAAAATACTAAGAGAAAAATATAGCCATCCAAGAATTATATATCCAGCAAGATTATCCATCAGAAAGGAGGGAGAAATAGTGTATTTCCCAGACAAAAACTATGGGAGATCACTATCATATGACCAGCCCTGCAAGAAATTCTCAAAAGAGTCCTGCATCCGGAATCTAAAAAATTATATTAACTATCATGGATTCATAAGAAACAGCAAAACCTACCATTAAAACCAAAATACAAATGAGAAAGAGAAAGAAGCTAAATCATGTCATCTCAAAAATCCAGCTAACACTGAAGATGAAAAATAAAAGGGGAAGAAAGGGACAAATGATATTTAAGACATCTAAACAAAAAGCGATATAATGACAGGAGTAAAGCAATACTTATCAATAACTACTCTAAATGTAAATGGATTAAACTGCCTATTCAAAAGGCACCGACTGACTGATTGGATTAAAAAGCTGGGCCCAGCTGTATGCTGTCTTCAAGAGACCCACCTCACCTATAAAGATATACGCAGACTAAAAGTGAAGAGATGGAAAAAGAAATACCATGCAAATGGAAACCAAAAGCAAGCAGGAGTAGCTATTCTTACATCAGATAAAATAGACTTTAAACCAAAAACCATAAAAAGAGACAAAGAAGGCCATTATATAATGATAAAGGGATCTATCTAGTTAGAAGACATAACAATCATAAATGTGTATGCACCCAATGCTAGAGTATTCACATGTGCAAAGTAAACACTCTTAGACCTAAAAAAGAAATAGACCCTAATACAATAAGAGTGGGTGACCTGAACACCCCTCTCTCAGCATTGGACAGATCTTTCAGGAAACATATTCACAAAGAAACACACAACTTAAACTACACCTTATACCAATTTGACCTGGCAGATATCTACAGAACATTTTCATCCAA